AGTGACACAAACTTAATGTGCACTCAGGAGGCAGAGGCAGGCGGATCTCTGTGAGTTCAAGGCCAGCCTCTTTTTTATTTTTATTTTTTTCATTTTTGAGACAGGGTGTCCCTATAGCCCCAGCTGTCCTGGAACTCACTACGTAGAACAGGCTGGCCTTGAACTCACAGAGAGATCTGCCTGCCTCTGCCTCCTGAGTGCTGGGATTAAAAGCATGTGCCACCATGCCCAGCCCATCCTTTCTATTTTGATACAAGGTCTTGCTGTATCACCCAAGGTAGCTAGCCTCAGACTGATGATCCTCCTGCCTCAGACTCTTGAGTGATGGGATTACAGGCATGCACCACCTGCCCAGTTTCTCCTCTTCATTTAAATTTTGGGGTATGTATGTTTGTATGTGCGTGTGTGCATGCACATGTAAGATTTTTAAAATTACCTATATGTGTCTATGTATGGATATGTGCACAGGAATGCAGGTGTCCTTGGGAGGCCAGAGAGGGTGTTGGACATTTATGTGTACTTAAATTTAAATATCCAGTAACTAATCAAAATTTCCAATCAACAACTTCCACAAACTAGGATTTTTTTTTGGTCTTTTTGAGACATGGTCTCCCTGTAGCCCCAGATAGCCAGGAACTCACTATGTAGAGCAGGCTGAACTTGAACTCACAGAGATCCACCTGCCTCTGCCTCTCAAGTGCTGGGACTACAGGTGTGCACCACCATGACCGGCTACACGTACAGAGATTTACTAGGCAGAATTGGCTGTTTATTGTCTCGGAGGCTGAGATGCGTGCAGCAGGTGGCCCTCCAGCCATAAACGGAGCAGCTGGGGGCTTATGGTGAACACAGCCCTCACTGCTGAGCCCTGATAGATAAAAAGTTGGCAGAGAAGGAGCGAATGGAGGATGAGGCACCGAGGCACAGATAAAACTCCATCAAAATAGGGTTTATTAGGAAAGGAACACATGGGGCAGATTCCCTTATGGGCAGGGAAAATGTCTGCCTGGGTCTTGAGCTGGGGTCTTTTAAAAAGGGAGGCTTCTGCTTCCTGCAGAAGGTGGGAAGATGTATTTTTTTTAAGTTGGGTGGGGGGGTAAGAGGGACTGTTAAAACCTGTTCTCTTTAGAGATCAAAGGGGAAGCCTGCTGTGTTGGCCGAACAGAGCAAAGGAACACATGGGACAGATTCCCTTCCGGGCAGGGAAAATGTCTGCACCAGGTCATGAGCTGGGGTCTTTTAAAGGGGGAGATTTCTGCTTCCTGCAGAAGGTGAGAAGATGTATTTTTTTTTAAGTTGGGTGGGGGGAAGTGGGAGAGCAGGACTGTTAAAATCTGTCCTCTTTAGAGATCAAAGGGGAAGCCTGCTGTGTTGGCCAAACAGTGGAGAAAAGTCTGCTTCTCTTGACTTCAAAGACCAGGGTGCTTATCAGCTAGGTTCCCTTTTCTTAGGAGCATGAGAAGTCCTTGGGATCCTGTTGGTGAGGGGGCGGGGCTATCTGAATAATGGGCAAACTAGGCACAGTAAGAGATTTGCAAGAACTAACAGTAATACAGAACAATTCTAATGCTAGACTAAAAAAGATTTGAAACTTACAAAGCTGGGTGTGGTGCTGTGGCCCAGCCAAGCTGACTCATAAAATTAACTGTCACAGCAAATCAGGACTCTAGATCTGCAAAATTGAAAGCATGACCTTGAAACAGAGTGGCTGGCTAAAGATCTTTTGCTCTGGTCATGGATCCTGAGCAGTCAGCTGACCACCCTCCTCGGTCCCTTTGTGGCATCTTTCAACACAACCACTGAATCTTGGACTGTCAGCGTTGAAGGGACAAAGAATCCCTGGGCTTCTGTTATTCCTGGCTGTGTGGACATGCTCTCTTTAGTTAGCAGGTGGAGCTGGTTGCGGTGGTCGAACATGTGGATAGGATATGTGAAGGGGTGGAGGCAGGAGGATCACCAGTTCAAAGTATACTTTTTAGGCATGCATGGTGGTGCATACCTTTAGTTCCAGCACTCAGAAGGCAGAAGCAGGCAGATCTCTATGAGTTTGAGGCCAGTCTGGTTTACATAGTGAGTTCCAGGCTAGCCAGGTCTATGAAATGAGACCCTATCAGCTTTTTAAAAATTACATTTATTGCCAGGCATGGTGGTGCACGCCTTTAATCCCAGCACTCGGGAGGCATCTCTGTGAGTTCAAGGCCAGCCTGGTCTACATAGTGAGTTCCAGGCCAGCCGGGGCTACAGGGAGACCCTGTCTCAAAAAAACCAAAAAAAAAAAAAAAATAGATGAGGAGAGGGGCTGGAGAGATGGCTTAGGAGTTAAGAGTGCTTGCTGCTCTTGCAAAGGACCTGAATTTAGTTTCCAGTACCCAAGTTGGGCAGCTCTCAACTGCCTATGACTCCAGCTCCAGAGGATTTGATACCTTCTTCTGGCCTCTGAGGGCAGCCACACACAGGTGGCATACACTCACACAAACACACATATACATAAATTAAAAGAACAAAATAGGGCTGAGCATGGTGGCTCAGACCTTTAGTACTGGCACTCGGGAGGCAGAGGTAAGTGAATCTCTGTGAGATGTAGCCAGGGCTACATAGTAAGACCCTGTCTCAAAACACAAAATAAAACAGGGGCTGGAGAGATGGCTCAGCAGTTAAGAACACTGGCTGCTCTTGCAGAGGACCTGGGTTAGGTTCCCAGCACCCACATGGCGGCTAATAACCATCCATAACTCCAGAGATCTAATGCCCTATTCTGGTCTCCATGGGCATAGCATGGCATGAGTGCATTTACAAGTATGCTGGTAAACACTCCTACACAAGCTGGGCTTGGTGGTGCACATTTGGGAGGCAGAAGCAAGGTGTGGGGCTGAAGATACGGCTCTGTGGTTGAGTACTTTCTGTTCTCCCAGAGGCCCCCAAGTTCAGTCCCCAGCACCCACATCAGGTGTCTCACAACCACCTGCAACTCCAGCTTCAGTGACTCTGACGTCCTCTTCTGGCCTCCTTGGACCCCCTCACACATGTGGCATATACATACAGAAACATACACCCTCATATAAATAAAATATAATAAGAAACTTTTTAAAAAGTCAGATGTTGCCAGGCGTGGCACACACCTTTAATCCCAGCACTCAGGAGGCAGAGGCAGGCGATCTCTGTGAGTTCAAGGGCAGCCTGGTCTACATAGTGAGTTCCAGGATAGCTGGGGCTACAGGGAGAGCCGGTCTAAAAAAAAAAAAAAAAAAAGACAATCAATCAATAAATAATAAAAAATCAGATGTGGCAGTGCATGCTTATAATCCCCAGCATTTAGGAGGCTGAGGCAGGAGAATCACAAGATAGAGTTTATCCTGAGCTACATAGTGACTTCCAGGCCAGCCTGGGTTACATAGTGAGATCCTGTCTTAAGAAGAAAAGAGAAGCCGGGTGTGGTGTCGCATGCATTTAATCCCAGCACTCGGGAGGCAGAGGCATACAGATCTCTGTGAGTTAGAGGCCAGCCTGGTCTACATAGTGAGTTCCAGGACAGCTGGGGCTACAGGGAGACCCTGTCTCAAAAAGACCAAAAAAAAAAAAAAAAAGAAAAGAGAGGAAACAAATGTAAATAAATGTCCTTTTAGCTGAACATGTTGACTTAACACCTATTATCCCAGCACTTGAGATACTGAGGGAGGAGAATTGCTTGGGAGTTTGAGGGCTGCCTGTAATTGATAGTGAGCTCTAGGACAGCCTGGGCTACAGTATAAGACTCTATCTCCAAAAATCAAAATAATCAATAAATAATAAATAGATGTGGGTGGGGCTGTAATATAATACAAATGTCTCCTCTTTCCAAAAGGGAACCATTGCCTTCGGGGTCCCTGAAACTTTTCAAGACCACAAACTCCTCCCTTAGGTGGCTGCCTAGTGGGAGGAGTTCTGTAGGCCACACCCTGGGGACCATTCATCTCCAACTATCTCACTCTACAGTGGAAGGACTGACATTCAAGTTGAGGCGCTCTCCTGGGCTTTACTGCAGAGCTGGAGGTAATTGCTTGAAGGAATGACTCAGAGCCCCAGGCTCTGTGCGTGTCTGAGAGACGTGGTCAGTCCCCACTCTAAAGCTGGAGACCAGCTTGTACTCTGAGCAGAGTGATGAGATGTGACCAGGAACCAGCTCTCATGCATTTTAGCCCGGAGCTCAAAAGGTTTGCAGGTTCGGGAGACTCGGAAATCTAGAACTGTATTTTTAGCACCTTTGGATGACTGAGAAGGCCAGGCAGGGCCCTGGGGGCATGAATCATGATCACAGGCTGCTAAGAATGATCTGTGGAGCACAGCCAGGCAGCGGATGCTGGAGGCCCCGAGCAAAGGGCTGGGTCAGACCCCAGACCTTCCGGCTGCGTCAACAGGAAGGGCAGTGGAGGTGCATCCTCCTTGGGGGCGGGGCGGGGGCGGGGCGTCACAGCAGGTGCGAGCTCCTGCCAAGGTCATTGGTCTCCCCAAGCTGGACTCCAGCTAACACAGTCCAGCCTGTGCTTAAGCTGGAAGAAGTCCATGGTCTGGAATATACAGGTACATTGTTGTCCATTGGATGGGGGTTCAGGAAGGGCTGTCGATAGAGAAAAAAGCCAGGTAGCACTGTCAACCAGTGGTTCTCAGCCTTGAGCACATCTTGACAAGACACACTAATGGAGCTGTCACAGAAGTAGCTGACAACTTTATGGTGGGTGGGAGAACTGGCATCTTTTAATCAGTTCCCAGTGCTGGTCCATAAATGAGGGATGCTGTTCCAGAGCACCCTCTGGAGGGTGCCCTGAGGCTATGATCATGTAATGATCCCCACTTCCAGCCTCACCATTTAAAATCTGGGTGGGGACACCAGGGGGTAACTTATGTGAGTCTGTTCTCTAGTTCCCCCGTGTAGATTTTAGGGATCAAACTCAGGCTGTCAGGCAAGCATCTTTACCCACTGAGCCATGTCGATGCCTCCCACCCCCAGCCTCACCATTTTATAGGATCTCACTATGTAGCCCTGGCTAGCCTGTAACTCATTATGTACACTAGGCTGGCCTTGAACTCACAGAGATCTGCCTGCCTCTGCCTCCCAAGTGCTGGGGTTAAAGGCGTGCACCACCATGCCTGGCCAGTCTCACCGTTTTAACCCCAAATTTAGAATCCAACCAGGGAGGCTTGAATTCTGGCTCACAATCTGTTGCTTTTGGGAGACCAGAACTAAAAGAATGGGGCGCAATGTTGCTTTAGTTAGCTTAATTCTTTTTATTTTTTTGTTTTTTGGTCTTTTTGAGACAGGGTCTCCCTGTAGCCCCAACTGGCCTAGAACTCACTATAGACCAGGCTGGCCTTGAACTCACAGAGATCCGCCTGCCTCTGCCTCCTAAGTGCTGGGGTTAAAGGTGTGCGCCACGTGCCTGTCTTTCTTTTTTATGTGTATGAATGCTACATCTGCATGTAAGTGCACCTGTGTCCTTCAGTGTCTGTGGAGGAAAAAGAGGGTGTTGGATTCCCTGGAACTGGAGTTACAGACGGCTGTTAGTTGCCATGTAGGTGCTGGGAATCGAACCCGAGCCTTCTGCAAGATCAATCAGTTCTCTTAACCACTAAGCCTCGCTCTAGCCCATAAGTGTGTAATTTAATGATTTCTTTTTTCTTGGTCTTTTTGAGAGAGGTTCTTCCTGTAGCCCCAGCTGGCCTGGCACTTGCTATATAGACTAGGCTGGTCTCAGTCTCATAGAGATCTGCCTGCCTCTGCCTCCCAAGTGCTGTAATTTAATGATTTTTCATATAGTCACTGAAATGCATAGTCATGGCACAGTGGGAGCCCTGTGCCCTTCAACTGATGCTCCCTTTCCCTCTTACTCCAGTCACTAAAGTAGCTTCCTGTCTCCATGGATCTGCTCACAGCCCATGCTGGCCTCGACTCACTATGTAGCCTGGGCTCCATCCTCCTGCCTCAGCCTCTGAGAGCTAGGGTCGCAGGCATGCGCCACGTGCCCAGCACCACATGGTGGCTAAGAACTCCAGTTCCAGGGCATCTGATGCCCTCTTCTGACCTCTGTAAGCATTGCATGCACATGGTAAACACACACAAAATATAAATAAATAGGGGCTGGAGAGATGGCACAGCAGTTAAGAACACTGACTGTGGTTAAGAGCTCTTGCAGAGGACCCAGAATCAATTCCCAGCACCCACATGGTGGCTAACAACCATCTGTAACTCCAGTTCCAAGGGATCTGATGCCCTCTTCTGACCTCCGCAGGCATTACAGGACATGGGTGCACTTACATGCTTGCAGGCAATACATTCATACACATAAAAAATAATAAGTAAACATTTAAAATAAATAAAATTTTAAAAGGAACAAGGCTGCACGTGGTGGTGAAAACATTTAATCTCAGAACTTGGGAGACAGAGGCAGGCAGATTTCTGTGCGGTTGAGGCCAGCCTGGTCTATACAGTGAGTTCGAGGCCATCTGGGGCTTCAGGGGGACCCGTCTCAAAAAGACAAATAAAATAAAAAGGAAGAAGACGGCTCAGTGGGTGAAGGTGCTGCTGAGCCTGACAGCCTGAGTTTAATCCCTGGGACCCACATGGTAGGAGAGAGGACCGACTCTCTAAAGTTGTTCTCTGACTCCGTGCACAGCCTGTGGCACACTGGGACATGTACACACACACACACACACCATGCACACTTCCTAGATAGGCTGTGGCACAACACTGGGACATGTACACACACACACACACACACACACACACACACACACCATGCACACTTCCTAGATAGCCCCATTCCATACCTTTTGGCACATTCATATTCTTCCTGACTGTAAGTTGGCCTGGCCGCTTCTCCCTGGGGCAGGAACCCTGCTGCCTGGCTCACTGTGCCTCCCCAAGTGGACAGTGGTGTCATAGTGAGTGTGGACCACAGAGGGAATTCGAACCCTACTAACATCACAAAGCTCTACTTCTTCTTGTTTTGCAGCCTCTCAGAGCCGATGTGCAGTCGTGGTCTCTGCTCATTACACTGAGGATGTCTGCTCTAGGAGTCTCTGGGCGCTGTGAAGATGAGTGGGGAAGGCTACCACGGGGACAGCTGGAGAGACTGGGGAACTGAAGACGAGGGGTGAAGGAAGGGAAGAGAGAGAGGGGTGCCAGAGGGACCGCAGCTGCTGAGATTTCCTAAGCAGCCTTCAGGACGCCCCCACCCCCTGGAACTGGGTGATCCTCTGTCTGGGTGAGGCCTGCTTTGCTGAGTGCAGTAAACGCTAGATTCCCGTCACAAATGACAGTTGTTGCGCTAAGCCCTGCTTGGCTGTGACTTGCCATTCCACAAATGGCAAAGTCCCTTCTAACACGCTTTCCCTCCTTCCATGTCATCGCCTTCCTGGAAGTCCCCATTCCCAGGCAGCCGACTGCTGGCTGCTGGGTGCCAAGGTAATCATATTCAGTAGGGTGATTAAGTGGGCGTGGGACCGATGACGTGGGAGGCCCAGGGGAAGAATGTCCTGCATGGAGTGGCTTGTGGCTTGGAGGTGAAATCTAACCCTCCAGCTGTGGGGGGGGGTGCCTCCCTGCATCTCTCCATGCTGAAGAGCTGAAGGTGCCTGGTGACTGGGCTTGCCCACAGGTGCCCCCGCAGGCAGGGAGCCAGCTTCCATGCCCTGGGCTCCTGGGGAAGCAGTGGCGTCTTTGTCTATAGATTGCTTCTGGACTTGACATTTTTGATTTTTAAAAAATGATGTATTTATTTTTATTTGTACAATATCATGATAGTCAGTATGTATACTGGTGTTAGTGCCCAGAAAAGCCAGAAGAGGGAGACATGTGGGTGCTGGGAATTGAACCCAGGTCCTCTGGAAGAACAGCCTAAGACACCGCTCCAGCCCCTCTGTTTTTTTTAATTTTGAGACACAGTCTCACTCTGTAGCATAGGAGGCCGGGAACTGGCGGCAGTGATCCTGCCTCGCCCCTGAGTGCTGGAGGTAAAAAAGTGTGAGTTACCACACCCAGTTTAGAAAATTTGGGGTTTCTTTGGCTGTGCTGTGGATAGAACTAGGGGCTTTATACATGCTAGGTAAGCACTGAACCTCTGAGCTACACCCCCAGCTATGGACTTTCTGATGAAAGCAAGCCACTGCATATCCTAAACTCGGTTTCTCTCCATTTCTGGTGGGTTTTTTTGGGGGGGTGGGGGGTTCTTTTCTAATCAAGGTACTCCAATTGACCATATTTTATTTTACTTTAAAAATATTTTATTTTTATGTGTATGAGTGTATTACATGCATGTTATGTAAGTGCACCCATGTGGCGGTCAGAAGAGAGTGGCGGTCAGAAGCTGGTGGTGGTCAGAAGAGGGTGCAGGAGTCCCCTGGAACTGGAGTTACAGACGGTTGATAGCTGCCATGTGGATGCTGGGAATTGAACCCGGGTCCTCTGCAAAAGCAGCCAGTACTCTTAACCGCTGGACCTCTCCAGTGCCCTGACACATATTTTAGCGAACAGTTTCATTTCCGGTCACAGGCACTCACTGTTTTAATCAAGATTCAAATGTTCCCAGGTAAACAGTAATTGAAACATACTGAAAACAGAATCTCACCATCCCAGCTTCCTGTGAGGCTCAAAGGAACCCTGGTACGTTCCCAAACTGTGCTTGGGTTCCACAGGTAGGGGTTCGTCCTCGTACAGGTAGAGCAGGTACGAAAGGACCATCGAATGAGCACACAGGATGAGGGATGACGGAGTAAGACAAAGCACGCCCTGGCAGGCGAATCGCTTTAATGAATTTAAGAACCAATGTCTCTGTATGGAGTTCAAAAGAAACAAAAGCAACATGCAGAAAGTTCATGGAAAGAGCAAGACTAGAGAAGTCTGAATGCCATAAAATACAGATACAAAAGCTTCCAATGAAAAGCACACACAGATACAGATTTCCAGGACATCAAGCCAGAAGGCACCCCAAAGCATCACGTAGTCACTGTAAGCCTTTAAACCTTGACAGAGTTGGACAGGGTCAGCAGTAGATGACTAGTCAACATCAAGCCAGAGAGCTTCTTGCCATGACAAAGGGTTATATTTTTACATTCATCCAATGCACTTATTTATTCATTCATTTATTTATTCATTTATTTGAGTCAGGGTCCCATGTAGCCGAGGCTTGCCTCATCTCTCTGTGTAGTCAGGATGACCTTGAACTTCTGATCCTCTTGCCTCCACCTCCCAAGTGCTGAGATCATGGGCTTATCCCACGATTCCTGGCCATAGGCAAGCATTCTGCCAACTAAGCCACGTCCCCCGTCCCTTCCATTTGATGCTTTTAACTGAGGCAACTACAGGATGATTTCTTAAGGGCCCCAGCTCCTCTCAGAAGTGATCAATTCTATTCATGTTAATTCTCTCTTCTCTCTCTCTCTCTCTCTCTCTCTCTCTCTCATTGGACGCTATGTTAGCATTTCTTTACTGAATGGGGTAGACAGGAAGAAACCAGGACCCCAGACACATGACAGAGAAATGACCATATGAAGAAAGGAGACAGGTGGACCAGCCCCCGCTGACACTCCAGTACTGCACCTCACTAAAGCAGGAGCTGCAGAAGAAACACAGACCCTTCCAAGGACATGAACTGTACTCTCAGCCAATCCGCGTCCTGTCTCGTTCAGTCAGGGCCTTGGATGGTCCTACGCACCACTGTGTGTGAATTTACATAATTGGAGCTGTGTTAGATCAATCTCAGAAAAGGGCAAGATCGAAGGCCAAGCCAGAGGTGAGGTCTGAGCTCCAGCCAAAGGGCATCAGCTGTCTAGACAAATCAAGATCCTGAAGGAACAGGAAGAGGCCGACTCCAGCAGGCTTTCCACAAAATGGTAATTAGCAAATTGTATCAAAAGGTATCAAAGTGTTTCAAAAAACTCTAAAAATAGCCAGCTTGGTAGATCCATAGTCAGAGTGTCCTTGCATTCCACAGGCTCCTCCTGGGGCCAGGGGTCCCCCCAGCAGAGCTGCCGTTGCAGGGCTGAGACCCCAGGCTCAAGACGATTCTAGAACCCAAAGCCTCTGAGCTGGGCTTGGGCCAGCAGCCGAGTGCCACACCATGGGGGCCAGGGTAAGGAAGGTTGGTGACTCTGTAAGGGGTGGTGGGGGCGGCAGGCACCCTTCTTGTCTAGCATGCCTAGAAGTGACCTGCCACAGATCACTAGAAGGAACCTCTTGGCTTGGGGTCAAGACACCTACTTAGACACAGGTCAGTATATCTGAAATCTCAGAGCAGAGTGCTGGGCCCCGGAGAGGAGGGGCTTTTGTTCCTTTGGAGGCCCAGAAGATGCCTGGGCGTTAGCTGCTGGGCCCCACCTATGCCGGTCTGCCCAGAACAAGGAGTCCAAGCCCCACCTGGGGGGGCTTACAGAAATGGTGGTGTCCCCACCTATCAAAGCGTGCCGGACGATCACACATATTTTCTTCTGGAGGAAGGCTGTCTCGCTGTCTTACCCAGGTTAGCTGGGAACTCCCTGGTTTAAGAGATCCACTGGTAGCCAAAGCCTACCCAGGGACTGGGACTATAGTCTGGGTCCCAGCAGCTGGCTGATCTATGTGCATGTCAAACAACAGGAAGACCTGTGAACAAACATCCCCGCGGCTCCCTGGTGGCCCCCCTTCTGTTGTACAAACAGGGCTCCAACCCAGGTGAGGGGCAAAAGCAAAGATCTACAAGGAGTGTCAGTTAAAACTCTGCTGTTTTATATTTTATTCATTATTTTTATTTTATGTGTATGTGTGTATTGCCTGCATGTAGGTAAGTGCACCCATGTTGTGCAAGGCCCGCAGAGGACAGAAAGGCCATCGGATCCCCTGGAACTGGAATTAGAGACAAAAACTCTATTCTTCATAAACAAGAAGCACAACCAGAGTCCAAGCCTACCACTGACTCAAACAGAGGCTCAGGGTCAGAGGGAGCTCTGACTTGGCTGCCACAGCGTAGAATTCTCACCTTAAGTCACAGGTAACAGAACACGGCCCAGATGCACTGCGGAGCTCAAAACCCTTTCTGGACACAGGGCAGTTGCCACCACCTGTGTGACGCTTACATTCTAGCCCACCCTTTCAAGGAAGGCTCTCAGCCCCTACAATACTAGATTCCAAGCCTGTAAGTTACAAAGCACATTAACAATGCCAGGAGAGATCACAACACATTAGGTGCGGGCTATTGTATTTAACCCACAAGCCACCAAGTGGAGTAGAAGTCGCGCGCCTCCACACATCTGGGGCAAGTACCGGCCGAGAGCTATGGGAAGGGCCAGCTTAGGCTCAGATTGGTGGCTGTCCTCAGCCCAGGGTCAGCACCATCCTGTTCTGTAAGCCACACACAGCCTTTCTGTGTGCTTTCCCCAACTTGCCCAATTCTCCCTGAAGCACCTCCTGGCTGTTCAAGACCTGCAGAGGACAGGCCGCACCTAACGCTTTGCCTATGGAAGGGCCTTTGTCTTAGTTAGTTTCTCCATTGCTGTGACAAAACACTCTGACCAATACCAACTTGGGAAGGAAAGGGTTTGTCTTACATCTCCTGGGTCACAGTTCATCTGGGAGCCCAAGGTAGGAACTCAGGGCAGGAATCTGGAGGCAGGAGCTGGAGCACAGGCCACGGAGGAACACTGCTTACTGACTTGCTCCCCTGGCCTCTGTTCAGCCTGCTTTCTTGTACAACACAGGCCCACCTGCCCAGGGGTGGCACCACCCACAGTGGGCTGGGCCCTCCCACATCACTCATCAAGAAGATGCCCTTCAGACATGGCCACAGGCCAGTCCAATAGAGGAAATTCCCCAATGGAGGCTCCCTCAACACAGGTGTGTCAGGTTGACACTAAAGCTGCCCAGCACAGCCTTCAAGTAATAAAGCTTCTCTTGGACTAGGGAAGGGTTAGGCTATCCCAGAGTTGACTGCTGGGGGGTGGGGGGAGGTACGGGAGGAAGTTTGAAACCTAAGAAGTTTGGAAATGTGGGGATGGTGTGTGAACACTTAGTGGAGGTCTTTTCAGAGCCTTTAATACACAGAAGGTGCAGAGCTCCACCAGGTTTGTGGCCTCATCATCATCTGTCTGCATGCTTTGCGGATGCTCAATACTCTGGAAGTCCTTAGAGACTTCTACCCCAAGAACTAACTGGATATGCAGCCTGCTCCTGACAGCAACAGAGGCTGTGCGGGCACTAAAGCCTTCAATTCCCCAGCTGTTCTTCCTCTCCAGGATCACAGCAGAAGCAGGTGGACCAGAACCACAGTTAATTCCAAAGCAGAAGGGTAGGAAGGGTAGCAGGAAACAGAAATAACAGCCTAGCTGAGAGGCTTGGGCGTCATGGCAAATCCCTGTAACCCCAGCGCTTGGCAGGTGGAGGCAGGAGGATCATGAGGTCATCCTTAGCTATATAGTAAGTTTAAGGCTAGCGTGGTCTACATGAGACCCTTGTCTCACAAACAACAACAACAACAAAAAACCCAATCAGTTGAGCATGGTGGTATACAGCTTTAATCCCAGCACCCTGGAGGCAGAGGCAGACAGATCTCTGAGTCTGGGGCTAGTCTGTTCTGCATAGCGAGTTCGAGGCCAGGCAGGGCTATAGAGACCCTGCCTTAAAAACAAAAACAAGGAGCTGGAGAGATGGCTTAGCAGTTAAGAGCACTGACTGCTCTTACAGAGGACCCGGGTTTGATTCCCAGCACCCACGTGGCAGCTATGAACCATTCTTAACTCCAGTTCCAGGGGAATCTGAAGCCTTCTTCTGACCTCTACAGCGTTGCACAACACAGGTACACTCACATACATGTAAGCAATACGCTCATACACATAAAATAAAAATATTGAGAAAAAAAAACAACCCATACTAATCCAGTGAGCTGGGGCTTTTCTTCTAAGACCAGTGTGAACAGAAGTCTTGCAGCCTGCTCACCTGCTGTCAGTCCACTTCCAGGAATCAGTACAGGGCAGTCCCAGCTCAAAGGCTCATGTGTGTCAGCAGCTCAGCAATACAGACAGTCATGATCACGTGTGGGCCAGGGAGGAGTTCAGCTGACTTTGTCCAGTAACAACTGAGGTGTGGACAGATGGGACCACTGAAGAACCTGGCTGGTGGCTCAGGCCTGGACCCAGCACCCTGGGAAGTTGGGGCAGGAGGCTGCTGCCAGTGTAGAGACAGCTGGGCTACAGGGAAGTGAGAGAGAGAGGAGGAGGGAGGGAGCCTACCCAGAGTGCAAAGCCACTCAGCAGCAGGCCTGGACACCTGCTGGCTGGAGACCAGCAGGCTTGCTTGTGTAGTACTCCCCCCCCCTGGTGCTCCTCTGCAGGCTCTACTGTGGTCACCCTTTCTTTCCTGAGGAATGAATGTAGACTTGGAGGCTCACTGTGAGAGATGAGGTGATCAGCTCAGTTACAGGACACTGTATCTAAAGAGCTTTGCCTCACCCCCTCTCTGCTTTCTTGGTGGCTTGAACAGATTGCCAGCCAGGAGAGACGGGACTATTCAGAAAGGAATGGGAGGCTATGGAAATCTCGGCAAGAAAAATCCAGTCTCCGGATCTTGCCTGCCTGTTCAGGGAGCTTGGGGTCCCCATGTCCTCATGCACAACAGACATGCTCGGTCTTGTCTGCTGAACACGGAACACGTGTTCAGAACTTAAGTCTCTAGGCTGGTCTCCTCCAGCCTATCAGCAGGGCCCAGGAAACTGTATGAAAAGTTCAGCCAAGTTTGAGAAGGCCCAGACCTTTGAGACCCTGAGTTTCACTTCAAAACTGTCTATATAACCTGTGCACTAGCCACTAGGGGGAGAGTCGGGGTGGGGTGGGGTGTGGAGACAGTCACAGGCACCTCAGGGGTGTGTGCCCTGGGAAGAAGGCCTGTATAGAAATGAAGGGATGCTGACTATCTGGGCCCAGGTTTAAGTAGTCAAGCAAGATGTGTGAGGTTATGTAGAATGTTTAATCACCAGTTTCTGTGATACCATAGAAATACCAAGAATCAAAAAAAGTAAAAAAAGCTACCAGCAAGAACCCAACACCAGCAGGTGGCCCCTGCGAGAGCCTCCGGTCACTAGCCCAGGTCCTGGTGCCGCCTGGCCCTGCCTTTCTTCTTGTCTTCCAGCCTAGGCTTAAGGGCACACACGCAGGCCGACACGCCAGCAATGGCCTTGGGGAGGTCAGGACCCCGGCTCCACCTGTCGGCCTCTCGGTCATACACCTGCACAGCTCTAGAGAAGGCAGTGCTCTCCCAGCTGTAGCCACCCAAGATGTAGATCCGGCCCTGCCACACGGCCACACCGGACTCGCTGTTGGCCTGCAGCAGTGGTGCCACTCGGGTCCACTGGTTACACTGTGGACTGTAGGCCTCCACACCCAGCACGTCAAAGCGCTCCATGGACTCAACATGGTCATCGCTGCCCCCGATGGAGTAGATGCTGTCGCCCAGGCTGCACATGCTGTGCCAGCCACGCGCCGTCATCATGGGGTGCCGCTCCTCCCACACGTCTGTCCGGTGGTCGTAACACAGCAGATTCTTGCGGTACGGGCCGATCTGGTAGTCGTGGCCCCCAGAGATGTACACAAAGTCTTTGTAGATGGTGCCAGCGTGGCCATAGGTGAACCTGCAGAGAGGCCGGAGGAGAGAGGAGCTCAAAGCTGAGCCAGGCCTCATCTCTGGAAAATGGAGGGATATGCTACTCACTCAGGATTCCATGGGGCCTACCCTGCTCACAGTAACCCTGGCTTAGGTGGTCATTCTACCTCTCCACCCACCAGGCTACAGATCAGGGGGCCATAGAGCAGCCTACAGGTGGTCACTGTGACCACCACTGCTCAACACTTGTCTGGGACTTGCTCTCTGGTTCTGGAATCCACCTTGAACATGGCTACCTGGAGGGGTGGGCACTCAGACACCCCAACCACGGCTTTATGTATTTATTTGAGGTGTGTGTGTGGGGTCTCACTATGTAGCCCAGGCTGGCATCAAACTCAATCCCCTGCCTCAGCTTCCTGAGTGACTGGGATTATAAGCACTCAGGCCCAACTGTGACTTTAAAACACAGGTTCACTCCTTCCCAACACACCGTTCTCACCCTGGGGTACAAAGTCCCCAAGACACCTGGTGTATCCCACAGCCAGAATGGTTCAGGAAGTCTGGGCTGAGGTGCAGCACAGGAATGGCAACAGATGGTGTACACCTGTGGCTGATCCAGGGTGAAAACTCGCCCAGTGATGGAATAAATGCTCGGCTGCAGGTCTCAGGAGTTGAGGGCATGTCACTCTCCCTGGGGCATTCTCCACGTGCTGGCTGCCAAGTAAGAGTGTCACAGCAAGGTCTCGTCTAACTTCCCAAGGCCACGGTGTAGCACTAGTGCAGCTGAGCACATGACTCTGGGCAGGGAAAGGCCCCAGCTCTCTGAACCCTCCTGTCCACACTAAGGAGAATCTTCCAGTGAGGTGTTTACTATCTTAACTCAACCACCTGCTGACTCTCTGAAGCCCAGGGACTAGTGAACTTGGAAACGGGGGGATGCCCATGTTGGCAGCAGGGCTAACAGACGCACTCGGCCTCCCATGCTCCACCTTGTTACATGATGTTCCCCTAGGGAAGACACCTCGAAGCTGAGGCCGAACTTCATCCTGTGAAAACATCACCTTGGACCAGTCAGCCTCAAACCCTCTTCACCTCGGCAAGCCAGCCACATAGGTCCAGGAGTCGGTCTTGGGGCTGTATGTCTCCACGGAAGACAGTGCTCCGTTTTCATTTCGGCCACCGACGGCCACCAGCATGTCCTCAATGGAGGCCAGGTAGAAATCCACGCGGCGCTGGTTCATGGAGGCCACCTGTGGGGGCAATGCACCTGAAGCCCCCTTACCAGGCCTGGAACAGCACCACCACCGGCACCAGTTCCCCAACCATGCCCACAGAGTGAAAGGCCCAGGAAGGCACGACAGTGGCCACATGAGCTGGGATGGGGACCAGACTCGAGAAAAAGAGGGGAACTTGTGGCGGGAATTCTCAGAGCCCTTTGATGCTTCCATCAGACATTCAAATACCCACAAGGTGAGTGGGGACACACACTTCCCCCAACTGGTGTGGCCAATGCTTAATGCTTCCATCAGACATTCAAATACCCACAAGGTGAGTGGGGACACACACTTCCCCCAACTGGTGTGGCCAATGCTTAACCTTGTAGACTGGAATTATGCCAGACACAGAGTTCAGAACTGCCGATTTAACGGTTTTCTGGGGAACTACTATTAACTGTCCCTTCTTTCTTACCACCTGCTGCTTGTTTGTGGTGCTGGGAATGGAACCCAGGGTTAGTGCTCTACCACTGAGATAAAGCCCCAGCCTGAGATAGAGATACATAAGAAATGAGTGTTGGAGCCGGGTGTGGTGGCGCACGCCTTTAGTCCCAGCACTTGGGAGGCAGAGGCAGGGTGATCTCTGTGAGTTTGAGGCCAGCCTAATCTACATAGCGAGTTCCAGGCAGGGAGACCCTGTCTCAAAAAAAAAAAAGTGTTGGTGGCCATCCACACTAAGACAGCAGGAAATGGTACTCAGCAGGAAGTCAGAAAACCAGCTCCAGCCTTCACACCAAGCCCCAGAGGACACACACAGACCCTGTCTGGCCAGCACTGACACCAGAGGTTCAGGATGGACTCCACAGCTGGGCCTCCTAGAGGCCTGGTGTAGCTCTAAGGGTTAGAGATGTTTTTAAATTTTATTTTTACTATGTGTATGAATGTTTTGCCTGCATGTAAGTTGTACTCGTGTAATGCAATGCCTGTAGAGCCCAGAGAGGGTATTGGAGCCCCTGGAACTGGAGTTAGGGACAGTTGTCAGCCACCATGTGCGTGCTGGGAATCCAACCCAGGTCCTCTGTAAGAGCAGCCGGTGGTCTAAACCACTGAGCCATCTCTCCCTGCCCCCCCTTAAGTTTATTATTATTGTGTGTTTTCATGATGTGTGAATGACATGCCATGGCATATATGTGGAGGTTGGAGGACAAATCTGTGGAGCCAGGGCTATGGATTCCAGGGCTTGCGCTTGGGTCACCAGGCTTACATAGCTAGCACCTTGACCTTACCTGTGGGGCCTCCTCACTGGCCCAGGCTGGAAAACTTTGAAAACAGAATTCCAAGGTCATATGGAACCCTTTTCGGTTTATATTTTTTGAGACAGGGTCTCACTCTATGACCCAGCTGACCTGGAACTCTCTGTACAGCCCAATTTGGCCTCAAACTCAGGACAATCCTGCTTCAGCCTCCTGAATCTTGGGATTGCAGGTGTCACACCAGCCGTTCTGGGTGTTGGGCTCAGCAAACACTGAAGTAATTAGTAGCGAGGAGGTGTGAGCATAAAGACAGATTAGGGGGAGGGGGTAGAGAGAGGGGTTTGTGGGAGAAGGTACCCCTCACCTAAGCCAAGTGCTTGCCAGTCAACTTGGGCTACCGCCTTGGCCCCAACACCACAAGCATATGCAGAGGATGAATGTGAAACTTGGGAGAGAGCCGGGGTCAGCCCGGATTCCCTGATCACATGCTAGCCCAATAGAGGTGCCTATCAGGGCTGATGTGTGGGCTTCACAAACCTGCCCTGGGCTACGTGGTACCCTGCAGCCTCCTGAAAGTCACTCCCCAAACTGCTCCAGGAGAGAAGCCCCAGTGGAGACTCTGAGGCAAGGGGAAGCCAACCCTGAGCCTCCAGCATCCGTTGACAACTTCCATAAATTAAAATAGCAAATGTACTGGTGGCATTCCTAGCCCTCAACTGTCATGCAGGCCAGTGGCCACCGGGTCAGGCACAGGACAAACACTATTCCCCCCAGGACAGAAGGTGCCACTGAAGCCTGATGCTTTGACAACAGCCAGCCCTCAGGTGATGGTCTCCCCGCCCTCCCCACAGCACCAGGGTGAGGCAGGGACCATGCGGCCAGTCACTTTATCATCACACCTCGCTCAGAAGCAGGGCAGTCATCAAGTCCCAGAGGAGGAAAGGGAAGCCAATGTGAGGTTAGGGGGCCGAGAGAGGCCTCAAGAGTAAAGAAGTAATCTATTTAATCTCACCTTGATCCACTGTTTACAGCGGGGGTCATACCTATAAAGGAGGCTGGAGGCCGCGTCCCCTCCGTTGTCCCTCGAGAAGCTGCCACCCGCGATGAAGATGAAGCCACCGAGCACGGCGACACAGTGGTGGCTCCGGCGGGCCGGCAGGGGCGTCTCCTTCACCCACTGCTCGTTCTCGGCGTCCAGGTAGCAGGTGTCGTCGCTCAGCTCCAGACACCGCTCGGAGACCTCGCCGCCCACGAAGAGCAGGCGCTCCTGGTTGGAGCGCAGCGCCGTGCGCTTGGTCTGCAGGACCGGCTGCGCCGCCAGGCTGTTGTGGTAGCGCACGGCCTCCTCGATGAAGCCCTCGCAGCCCGCCTCGCCCGGCAGCAGCGCGCACACGGCCGGCTGGACGCGGTGCAGGAGGTCGTTCTTGGGGATGAGCGGGAAGTGGATGTTCTCCAGCACGCGCCGCGCGTGCGCCTCGCGCTCCGGCTGCTGCGTGAGCCACTGCAGCGCGGCCTGCAGCAGGTCGTGCTCGCAATCGCGCTGCACCTGGCTGCTGCTCAGGTAGACGCACAGCTTCTGCACGGACACGGTCTGCAGGAAGTCGGGCGTGAAGGACAGCGTGCCGAAGTGGCTGAGCACGAAGCCGTCGACGAAGGCGTCCAGCCGCTTGAGGCTGTAGATGGAGGCCAGCTCCTGCAGGTAGAGGTAGTTGTCCTCGCTCACCTCCTGCTCCAGGTACTCGCAGCAGAAGTCCACCACCGTCCAGATCTGCAGCAGGTGCGCCGTCTCCAGGACGTAGTCGATGTTGCCTCCGTCCAGCACCAGCTCGCCCCCGTACAGGAAGTCCACCACCGCCTTGAGCCCCACGTAGGAGGCGCCGACCAGCTCCACCTCCTTCTGGAACGCCTCGCGCATGCCCAGGGTGAACATGGAGTTGAAGTAGTCGCTGCACACGGCCAGCAGGTTGCGGTGGGCCGGTACCTGCTGCTCATCCGCCACGAGGACCACATCGCAGAAGAGGCCACGCGACCGCTGCTCGTTCAGCCGCTGCAGCACCACGGTGGAGTGGTCGGCCCAGCGGTACACCTGCACAGAGGGGTGCATCAGGAGAGGAGCCGTGGCCTGCCACCCGAGGTCTGCGGGGTCATCCCAGAGTGCGGGACAAGGGTTGCAAGATGGAACAGGGGCCACTGAAATAAATCCCAGAGTAATGCAGATGTCCCCTTCCTTCCCTAAATGAAAAAAACCTTTTTCATGTGCTTTGCTTGCATGCGTGTAAGTGCACCAACACACACCAAGAGCACACGCTGCTCACAAAGGTCAGAAGAGGGTGTTGGATCCCCTGGAAAAGGAGTTACAGATGGCTGTTAGTTGCCATATGGTTGCTGGGACCCTCTGAAAGAGCAGTCAGTGCTCTTAACTGCTGAGCCATCTCTCCAACCCCCATAAAATACTGTATTTACTTGTGTGTGTGTGCACGCGCACTTGTGCCACAGTGTGCATATGGAGGTCAGCAGACAACTTTGGGGAATGGATCTCCCCTTCCATGGTTGGTTCTGTGAATGGAACTCAGGTCATCTGTGAGGCTTGAACAGGACGTGCCTTATACAAGCCACCTCGCCAGCTCTGCTCTTGAAACATAATTCATAGAAAACATCCTGTTGGATTGCTTTTTCCTTTCTCCTCTAGAAGTCTCAAAGCTTTCTCTTCTGTCCTTCCTGTAGGTCATGACAACATTTTAAAATGTTTTCCTACTGGAAAAGTGGAGCTGTTGGAGGTGAAACCCCTAAAATCAGATGGACCCGGGTGAGAAATCCAGCTCTGCCGCCTACCAGCTATGTGGTCTTAGGCTGACTGCAGACCGTCCGCCTCCTTCCTGACAACCGAGGTGTGCTGACCATTTAGGCTTCAGGAGTTAGAGACAGAACAGGGAGCAGCTGAGCAGGTACTTGAGAACATTAGCTGCTGTGGCTGTCAACACCCACCCCCAGGCTTGAACATGGGATGGTGGGAGTTGGGGGGCAGCCTTCTACCTTACAAAATGCTGGGTGTACCGTCCTGTTTCTCAGGAGGTGGTGGCTGGCACAGCCTCACTGACTCAGGTACTCTGGGATCCTAGTCTGAGAACCAGGGCCTAAGGGAACACGTCGAAGATCAAGCACAGGAAAACCATCCTTCCCAGGGCTGTGTGCTGCCCACAGAGCTGTGTGCTGGACCTGCTCTCTCAATCACCATGCTTCACTAAATTAATACATTTAGAGTGATACAGTTAATTTGAAGAGTTCCAGGTGGAAGACACCTAGTGAGTGCTGTGTGCAGAGGGATGAGCCCCAGACAAGGGTGTCCACATCCTGAGGACGAAGCCAGAGAGACCAAGCCATGTGCCTATAGCCTTAGCTACTCCGGAGGCTCAAGTGGAAGGACTGCTTGGGTGACAAGTTCAAGACTAGCCTTAGTGACGTGGCAGAGGAGGAAGAGGAAAAGGAGCAGGACAAGGGAAAAGAGATGAAAATTCAACTCAAGGAGAAATGGACTCTTCAAAAGAATCAAGCCAGGACAGGGTGCAGTGGTGCACACCTTTAAGCCCAGCACTTGGGAGGCAGAGGCAGGTGGATCTCTCTGAGAGTGAGGTCAGGCTGGTCTACATAGTGAGTTTCAGGCCAGCTGGGGCTACAGGAATATCCTGTTTTGTTTTGTTTAAATCATCAAGTAGTAGTTGATCTATTCAAAGATAAGTTCTGTGGCAGGGCTCGCTCTGTCTGTCCATTTGTCTACCTGTCTCTCTATCCATCCATCCAATCTATGGAGACAGGATCCCGTGAAGCCCAGGCTGGCTTCACTATGTAACTGAGGATGACCTTGAACTTCTAACCCTCCACCTCAACTTCTTGAGTCTGAGATGGCAGGCAAGTGCTGGGATCAAGATACACCACCACACCCAGACTGCTATGGATCCTGCTGTGCTGGGATCAAACCTAGGGCTAGGTAAGTGCCCTCCCACCTGAGCTACGTCCCTAACCCCTTTCTTCTCTCAAAGCTGTTTATTTTTTAAAATCTTCTTATTTTTATATGTATTCGTGTATTGCCTGCATGTAGGTAAGTGCACCCGTGTTGTGTAATGCCTAGGAGGACAGAAGAGGCTGTTGGATCACCTGGAACTGGAGTTACGGACAGTTAGCTGCCATGTGGGTGCTGGGATTCGAACCTGGGTCTTCTGCAAGAACAATCAGTGTGAACTGCTGAGCCATCTCTCCAGCCCCCCACCCCCCCTTTTCAAAGCTGTTTTTTAGTACAGCTGGTAACTGGTTTTCCCTAGTCGGTGCCCTGTAATTGAGTTATTTTTGTTTTTGAAACAGGGTGTCTTGGTAGCCCCAATCTCAAGAGATCCACCTGCCTCTGCTTCCCAAGTGCTGGGATTAAAGGCCTGTGCCACATGTCCAGTGTAATTGAGTTTATTTCCTTTTGATCCTTCCACATCTGATCACACAGTCCACCTTGTAGGAACAGGCAAGCATCTCACAAGTCGAAGAGAACAACAGATCTTCCCCAAGGCCCCATACCTCCAGGCTCAGTGGGACAGGCTCTGCTACCCTTGTGTGGCTGGATGGCTTCTCAGGCCTCCCACGAGGCTCTTTACGATCCCACAGCCAAGCCTGGCTGACTGACTTCATGATTCGGGCTCCTTCGGACAGTAGTTTGGAGCCTCTCCCAGAACAGACTGAAGGAAGGAGACAGGGATGGACTATGGTAGCAGGGGACAGGGCGCCATAATGGTCCAGAGTACTGAGAAAAGCCGGTGGGGAACAGGTAGACCACTGGGCCCTGGTGGCCAAGCTAGCTGGGCGCTGGGCCTCTTGGGGAACCCCAGACAGCAGTGTCAAGGGGGCCGCCTACTCCGGGGGCTGTGTCTGACAAGGGGCTCCAAACAGACAGCCAGGCTTCCTTATTACCTGGGCTTCCACGGTGCCTGAGCTGGCTTTTTGGCAAATCAGCAGATATGGCAACCTAAAATAATTTTTTTTTTTTGGTGTTTTTGAAACAGGGTCTCCCTGTAGCCCCAGCTGGCCTGGACTCACTATGAGGACCAGGCTGGCCTTGAACTCACAGAGATATGCCTGCCTCTGCCTCCCAAGTGCTGGGACTACAGGTGTGCACCACCACGCTTGGCAAAATAAATTTCTTTTTTATGTGTACGATTGCTTTGCCTGCATGTATGTAAGTGCACCTGTGTCATGCAGTGCCTGAGGAGGCCAGAAGAGGGCATCAGATCCTCTGGAACGGGAATTACAGGTGGTTGTTAGAGGCCACATGAGTGCTGAGAACCAAACACAGGTCCTCTGCAAGAGCAGCCAGTGCTCTAACCTCTGAGCCAGTGCTCCAGTCCCCAGATACGGTAACTTTAAACACATGCCCTCACAACTTCAAAGTGTCTCCGGTAACAGAATCTCAGTGTGTCAGGAGATTAAGAAGAACTCCCCAACATTCCCTGACCGTGTCAGTCCTGGTCAATAGTTTCTCACTTTAGTGCCTCATCAAATGTGGGTGGGGAGGAAGGCATCATTACATTAGGAGAATGGAGTGTTGGGGGTGTAGGATGCTGCCTGTTAACACAGAACTCAGTACCACAGCGGGGCAGCCCACTTTAGAGGGGCTTAGAGGAGAGCAGCCCCACAGGAAGTTCACGGTGGGCAGGCTCCATCACCAACTGGGAACACCCCAGTCTCCAAGGTCTCTCATTGCATGGGAGCAGCCAGACACAGGCCAGCCCATCCTACCACTCCGAGATGGTAAAGCCAGTATGGTCCTGTAGCCAGGGAGGGCCTCTTTACCATCTGGGAGATGGCTACATGGATGTATCTGGTATCCAAAAACCTCAAGGCACATTTATGATCTGGGCAGCCTCTTAAAAATAGAACATTAAGGGCATAAACGTACTCAGGGGACAGAAGCCCATTCCTAAAAGCTACTGTTCTGGCTCTGAAGGTTCAAGACCATCAAAGTTAGAAAGCGACACTGTCTCTGCAGCCAGGCTCAAAAACAAAGCCCTTTGAGAAAGTGGTTGGACCCTGTGGGTTTTCACTGGAGATAAAGCAAGGCTTGGCAGTGGCCTGCTTTCCAAACACTGCCATGGTTCTCGGGAGGTCCGGCCTTCCCTTCTCAGCCCTGCAGGCTTCTCACACTTCACCTCACACAGTCTTCCATCCTTCTTCCACTCTTAAGCCTTTTAAGATACTTTATCCTTATACACACCTCCACAATATCTGACCCCGCCCCCCATACATGTGCCTGGGTAATGCAGGTATAGCTGCACTTAATACACAAAGAGCGAACTTCGGCTGGCCGAGGTGGCACTCGCCTTCAATCCCAGCATGTGGGTGGCAGAAACTGCTGGATCTGTCAGATCAAGGCCAGTCTGGTCTACACATCGAGGTCCTGGCCAACTGGGGCTACAGGGAGACCCTGTCTCAAAGCAAACAAAAACCAAAAAGAGTAGTTTAGCTCAGCAGGTGAAAGCGCTTGTTAAACACCTGTTTATCAAAGCTCCTGGGACCCTCAGGATGGAAGGAGAGAACCAACTCCTGCAAGTTAGGACACGCGACACATCCATGCTCACAAACATGCATAAATGTAAAATAAAGAAATAAATAAAGAAATAAATAAATAGTAGCCGGGTGTGGCGGCGCATGCCTTTGGTCCTAGCACTCGGGAGGCAGAGGCAGGCAGATCTCTGAGTTCAGGCCAGCTGGTGCTACACGGAGACCCTGCCTCAAAAAACCAAAACAACAAAACAAAAATCAAACAAATTAAACAACAACCACCACAAACGGCGCATGCCTGGTCCTAGCACTCGGGAGGCAGAGGCAGGCAGATCTCTGAGTTCAGGCCAGCTGGTGCTACACGGAGACCCTGCCTCAAAAAAGACACACACACACACACACACACACACACACACACACAATCTTATTTTTTTTAATGTGTTTGCGTGTATTGCCTGCATGTGTATAAGTGCACACGTGTCATGCAATTCCAAAGAGGTCAGAAGAAGGTGTCAGATTCCCCTGGAATGGACTTAAGAAGGGTTCTTAGCCACCTTGTGGGTTCTGAGAATCGAACCTGGGTCTTCTGCAAGAGCAGTTGATGCTCTGGGATCTGAAAGCTTGGGAGATTAAGATTACAAATTAAAAATTTATCTTTAACACATTTATCTATTTATATTAATACCATTTTATTGCATGCTATGGTTTTTTTTGGTCTTTTCGAGACAGGGTCTCCCTGTAACCCCAGCTGACCTGGAACTCACTATATAGACCAGGCTGGCCTGGAACTTCCTGCCTCTACCTCCCAAGTGCTAGGATCAAACGTGTGCGTCACCACGCCTGGTACATTCTGTGATTTTAACCTTGCTTTTGAAGTACCTTGAAATACATTTTAAAAATAAAATTCATGGGGCTGAAGAGATGGCTAAGCTCTTGTAGAGGACCCAGGTTTAATTTCTAGAACCCACATGGTGGCTAACAACCATCGTAACTCCAGTTTCAGGGAACCTGACGCCTTTCTCTGACCTCCACGAGCATTGCATGACAGTGGCACACTTTTACACATGGAGACAATACACTTATACACATAAAATAAAAAAATAGAATTCAGGGACTGGAGAGATGGCTCTGCAGTTAAGAGCACTGACTGGTTCTTGCAGAAGACGAGGGTTTGAGTCTCAGCACCCACAAGGTGGCTAATAACCATCTGTAACTCCAGTTCCAGGGAAATTTGATACTCTTGTCTGTCCTCCTCAGGCACTGCATGACACCACTTACATACATGCAGGCAATACACTCATACACATAAAATAAAAATAATAAAGAATCAAAGTTTAAAAAAATAAAAAGAAGATTCATTGTAGTGTTTTTAAAGTATAGAGTGAGATGAGAATGATGCCTGCACTGCATTCATGTGCACATTATGCCCGTTTTGCAGTAGTTAGTTTTGTGGGTTGTGATTCTGTGTAGCTATCCCTGGAGCTGTTGGGTCACCTAGCAGAATGTTAGTGATGGACATCGCACCCCTCTTGTGAGGTGCCTGTGGAATGCAGCATAGTGGCCCCTCTACATTTCAGCCATATGAGCTAGTCCTCTGTACTCAAAGTTGCCAAGCAGTATAAACCATAAGCCATTTATCTTTAAGAAGTTCATGTTGCATTTGTTTTTTTATTTTTATGTTTTTATGTGTTTTGCCTGCATGCATGTAAGTGCACCTGTGCACACAATGCCCACAGAGGGCAGAAGAGCGCATCAGATCTGAACCATTCTTTAGCCCCTAAATTGTATCTTCACCCTAAATTTAAGATTTATCTCTCTAAGTTCAAGGTCAGTCTGAATTCCAGGCCTGCTGGGGATATAGAGAGACCCTGTCTCAAAAAGACAAAAAAAGGATTTATCTTAACACCTAGTGAGATGGCCCAGCAGGTAAAGGCACTTGGTGCCAAGTCTGATAGCCTGTTTTATAATGGGACCCACACGGTGGAAAGAGAGAACCAATTCACCACTCCTACAAACTGTAAAAGTAAAGTAACAAAAAGTTTAAAAATATTTATTTTAAAATGAAGGTCATTTATTGCTGTAAGTAAATGTTATCTTTCCTTGGAAAACAGTGACATCTTGTGAAAATGTGATGAAATAGCAGAATGTAGTGTGTGC